GTTCTGCTGCACATAGAAAAATGTTAAGGCAAAAAGAATAAGTGAAACGTTAATCATCTTAAGATGTCATCAATTTTGTTAACTGGCGATGACCTTTGTCGTAACATGAAGCGTTATCTGTTTGGTGACTGGGATAAAAGGTTGTCAAGCGAAAAATGTCATTTTAATTGGCTTACGTTAAGTACCTAGAACTTATAATGTATTTCATTAGGAATGAGATTTGCTAATCTTTTCTACCTCAGAACCACGTTTTTGCCATAAAAAAAATTATTTTATCTTTCAAATACGAACAAGGACATAACATTTATTCAATAACGTCATATCTCTGGTATTTATGTCATATTTAGGCCATGTTTCAGACTCGCGTTTTTATTGCTAATTGTTCTGAAAGAAATATCTCTTATTATTGGGCAGAATTTATCCACGGGAGGTTCCAAAGTTATTTTACCTTGAAATTGATGTCATGACCAGTTAGCTTTGAAAAAACTAGTGATTAGATTTGGTTTAAGGAGGATATGTTTGCAGGATAGCTTTGAAATACAATTTTTGACTTTTTTCCCAGAACACTAACTGACCATAAACACAAATTAACAAGCAGCCTATTTGAATTTCTGCCTATCGAAACGCTTAATAACATCCATGACTGTCTCTCGTAAGGAGAGGAAAATCTATACATCTCCTTCGATGTAGCAGATAACAGGTAGCAAGACATCCACTGAGATTGAATGAAATATCACCTAGACAGCCATAAAACCACAGCGCACCTTCTATAAGTGCGATGTTATAGACGTGCTAAGTTATTTATAATATTAATAGTAATGATAAGAAATAGTATAGCGTTACTGGTTTGACAGGACCTATTTTAACATTCGTGATAATGCATTCCTTGTGCCCACCAGGACATCACATCAAGTTTGTAAAGAGTTCCTTCCTTCAATAAACATTCATACCACTGAGTTATCAAAATGTTTGAGCCTTTTGTAACCATGTGAAGTGAATTTGATTGCCTAGGCAAATGTGCATTAGCAACAAGCAAAAAAAATGCACAGTAATTAAATTAAACGTGACAGCTTTTTTCCCTCTATGTGGTAGGAATTGCAAAAACAGGTTGCACTGCTACCAAAATAATTTTGTTGATCGTTTCGAATAAAATAAATTAATATGCAAAACATATGCGTTGGGGATCCACAATTCCTCAAGATTGGTTTCTGATTTTGTTTACATTAATTTATTAACATTTGCTTTGCTACGCCTTTATCAAGTCAAGGTTGACCTTGACTTGAATTAGTTTCGTTTTTCACCGTCGATTTCACTTCTTCTCTGTACGTGGCTGACGTGAATAAAGCTCTCTACTCGAGCTCTGTTCTTGTTCTGGTATTAGCCTGGGAAGGTCGATTCTAGCTCTCAGCAAGGGATCTGGTACCGTTATTTGAGTGGTATTCTCTTTTGTTACGGGCAAACGTAACAACATGTTATATTAAATTAATTAATTTAGGGTTCAAACGATATCGGTCACTGAAATCGCATGAGTAGCTGGTGCAGTTTAGAGCATAAAGAGAATTAAGCAGGAAAATTTACTGCTCGTGAGCTTTTAATCAATTAAAGTCCGATTCTATTCTACTATAAATGCCATAATTGGACGATTATATTCTATCAAAATGCTAAAAGTTGCAATGCAAATTCACTAATAGTTTGATCTGTTTTCCCGGACTAACTCATTCATAATAACTACTTTTTTTAATTTTTTATACAAATATGATGAGTTATTTTTTTCGCAACCAATTTTCCAGTAAATACTCGAGTTTTCGAATTTTGTCGCAGTCATGAAAACTTTTTTTGACAACAGAGCTTCGCTGATTGTAATAAATGTAATTCTTTTGTATATTTTTTTAATTAAATTTGTTCTATTATTATGTGAGTTATATTGATTACCTAGGCCATTTCGTGTCAGCAAAATGATGCTTTATACATATTAAGTAATTTAAGCTTAAGTCATTTTAATGCGTTTTCACAAAAAATTGCAGAATTGTGACATGGACATTTAAGTCGCAAAAAAGAGGATGCACTTTTTAATAACTTACCTAAGGACAACCATGCTCTGAGATTTTGCTGGTAAGTCATGAAACGGTCGCCCTAAGCACAAGGCTTATTTTGTTTTGATGTATTTTAATAAATCAAACAAAAATAAAACTACGCCAAAGACCTCCTCTCTATAAACTCTATGGCAATTACTTTGCCAAAGGTCTCAATGTTGCGGGAAAAGATAAAGGTAGTATTAATACTCAAGAACGTTACTCAAAGTTAATGGTGGGGCCAATACATGTGACCAAGATAGGTTACATTAAAATGCAGTTAATATCAATTGAAATACTCGGAGGCCTGTGTTTATTTAAGCCAGATCTTTGGGGTTTGGTCAAGAGACATTGGCTTTAAAATGAAGTCATTTTTTTTGAAGATATTGTAGACTTAGTAGAAATATTCATTGACGTAGATTAGAGCAATTTGTGTCACCCATATCTGTGACACAAGATATATTTTGCAATAAATGTACACGCAAAGGAAACAAACTGCATCATCTAAAAATGCAGTAATAATCATTTGAGCCTTTTTAATACAAATCTCTGGGATTTGGTCGAAATGACATTAGCCTTAAAACTACAATATTTTTTCTTAGGGTGTATTTTTCAGTAGTAGTTGTAAGTTTGGAATTTTCGATTTCTATATGTCGCGAGAAGATTTTTCTAGGCAAACATTCTGTAATGTGTAATGAAATCGTAACTGCATCACATTTTTTGCTCAAGGCAATGTAAGAGATTACTTGGGTTTTGTGTCATAGCTTTATCTGCAATGCGTTTTTCTTTTGTTCATAGAATGTCGCAAGCATTAACTAATTCTGATACTGAACATGTAACGGGAATCCGCGGGTTAAGAAGTTTGACTTTAGAATAACCATCTTTCCAAAACTATATAGATAAGACAACAGATTTACATTGCGATGACGGAACTGTGCATGTAATTAAACACAAATGTTTGCCACGATCCTATCAGAGATTTAACATAGAAAACCAATGCATATAGTCAGTCTATCGATTAAACCTTCATGGTGTCCGATCCGTTTTACCTGCGATGATTAGAGTGCGATATTGATTTGAAAAAAAACTGAAAACGACAGCCAATGAAGCAATATGTAGGCACAGGTATCAGGGTGAGAGCGTACCCTTTGTGCCCGCTCTATTAGCTAAAGTTAGGCGTCTGAGTCCACTAATGGCATAGCACAGTGAACTTAACGCGACGAGACGGTGTCATTTAGCAATAAAATGTTTTGCGGATCTTTTTGCCTATGTATTTAGGTTATAAATGAAAAAGATTAAGAAGGCTAAAGCGAACAACGGCAACCAAGTTACAATTGGCCAATGTTAATGTTTTTTATTGTTTAAATTTCGATTTTCAAACAACAAACTGACAAACTGGCTGACAGCTAACCTCGTTGTCTGACATTGGAGCCACAATTAAAAAAATCTGGATTGTAAGACATTGATTTATTTTTATGTTAAAGAAGCAAAAGATGTGGAGTTTAATAATCACGACAATGTTAATTAACCAGTTTTTTTAGGAAACAAAAAACGTTTTAAAATCCAAATTGGCAATTGAATTTTATCAAACAAATATCATTGCCATGTTTGCAAACATGAGAACACTGACAGCCGAGAGATGCGTGGAGAAGGAGGTTGTTGGCCGTGTTTGGCCAGCTTCGTCAGGTGCTGCCTCCGTTAAACTGGACGAACCTTCCGTCCCGGTAATCACCGCTGGAACTTCAATTGACGGTTCCTCCTCAGGGCTGGTGATTGTCTTTGGTAGAAGTAATGATTTTTCCGTTGGGCTTAACTTTTTCTGGGTTCGAATGAAAGACTTCTTCGTTGGGCTAGACATTTTTTGGGTTGGAATAATTTGCATTTTCACTGCTACGGATTCACGGATCGCAGACTTCTCCAGAGGCACACGCACAACTCCTGGCGTCGTCAACGCAGTGCTTAATTTTGGGTAGGTTTGAATGAAGGACTTCTTTGTTGAGCTAGTCGCTTCTGGGGTTGGAATAATCTGTCTTTTCACTGCTGCGGATTCACGGATCACAGACTTCTCCAGAGGCACACGCACAACTCCTGGCTTTGTCAACGCAGTGCACTGATTGCGGTAACAGCCCAGTCCCGGAGGGCATCCACTGCAGCTTGACCCGCGCTCGTATGGCCTCTCTTGCCGATTACGGTGACTGAAATGACATTCAAAATTTTATCAAGCATGCTTTTACTTGAATGCCATTTTGAATATGTAATTTCTTTGAACATTAGCACTAGGTATCATTTAAATTTGCGCTTTTTTCAGCCAAATGTACATTTTGCATTTACGAGAGATACAGAAAATCAACTTACCCAGGCTTGTAGAGGCAGGCCATTACGTATCGAGGTGTAACCCAAAAATCACTATGATCACATCGACGACGATAGCAGCCAACTTGGCTTGATGTCGACCAAATAATCTACACAAAGCACAAAATCACATTTGCAGTCAGTGAGCGAAAACAACTGAACCATGTTAACTTTGGTTTCGGCCTTAGTTACACGTGAATGCAAAATGTACAGCATAAGACAGGCAGCAAATACTTTAGTGGCTCTAATTAGGGTGCATTTAACTTCAATTATTGACTCATATTATGCGTTCCTTGAAATGTATCAAAGAATTTGGCAAATATTATATACGAGAAGCCTGCACATGGTATCCTGATTAAAAAGAGAATCAAGACTGATTCGTCTGGTGGTAAGGATACTTAGACTACATTTAGTGTCTGGCACCAGTACTCCAATTTGTCGAATGTTTATACAATTCTCCCTAAATTTGGTCATTTTATTAGTGAATGGAATAGTGCATTTGCGCAAGTAATAACTTTGACAAACGGGAATTAATACTAACCCGCCGATAGTTGCCGCACAAAGTTGGGCAGGTGTTAGTTTCATAGTTGTAAGCTTCTTTTTGGTGGTCGAATCTTGACGCCGGTTCAAACGATGCGTCTTGAGGTTTGGTGCCAGATTGCAAATTCACTACCACGTCTTCAAATTCAGGGTGAAGCGATGCACTTGGCACAACGTAAGTGCAATTGCTCAACCATTTTTTGGCCAATTTTTCCAGTCCGACTGAGTAGTGCTGTGCAGATAAATATGCAGAGAACAGTAATTAAGAGCAGCGACATGCGGTCACTTAAATGCGTGGTAATTTTATTCATTTCTTGCAAAATGATTTCCAAATTTGTTGATCTTGTGGTTCACCCTCAAACAAGTCACTAATTTCAATTCCATGTTTGATAAAAAAAATACTCCAAATCCCTTTTACATGAACTTTCTACTTAAATTGTGAGCAGTAGTAATATAAATTGTTCACAGCCTGCTACATGTGTCGAATAATCAACTTCATCTCGGCAGAATTTAAACTGGAAAATCAATTGCAATTTATTTCGCAAATATTATTCGCTCAAAACAGAAAATCGATACTGCATTCGTGAGTGTTCGTTTGATTGAAACGTCGATTAGGTAGCGATGGATGGAGCAAGAAAACTCGGTTAACGTTGGCGCATGCCAGCCTGATATTAAATTTTAAAACATTTCCTTTTTTTCTTTTCGACCTCTAAATAGAGGCTTTGTTGAAGGAAAATTTAACTGCACCATTATGGCACAAATGTGCAATGTGTCATGCCCAATTTGGCATCTTTGAAACCGATTTTCACTAGATGACCGGTTTGTGTTTCGTATGTAGATGCTTTTGCGCAATTAACACCGGTTACTTGGCTATCAAATAATTTTTTTTAATTCATATATTTTATTTAATTAATTGGGACGGAATTTAACCGCTTATTGTTCCGTTTTTAGGAGTAGCATTTGCTGTCATTGCCACACTTAAATTCTGGACACAGACGTCAGGTATACAGTGCAATCACCAACTCGCTAACTTCTTTTAATACTGGATACCAAGGAAATAACAAGAATAATGTCCTCAATCTGTTTTTATTCTCTGCTAATTAATGTTGTCCTGTTACAATTGAATCAACTGTACAAATTGAGACATTTAGACGAACGTTGTTTTTGAATATGTGTTCCAAAGTGCAAGTTGCCCGTAAAATCATAACCTCGTGAGTTACTCTCAGATGTTACTGTTTGCAGTTCGTTTATGTGCATTGATTTCCACCAAAGCGCTTTTCATTTGAAGAATACGTAATATGTTGATCATAGGTAATATCAGCTAAAACCTGTATCTGGCGTTACTTTTCTGGCATTTATAGATTAGAGGAAATTAACCCTGTGTTGGCATCCTTGCTAGGCGTTTTACTTACAAATATTTTGCAACCTAGTTGTTTTGAGTCGTCATCCAAATTGGCAACCATGGCGTCTTACTAATCGCAAGTTAATAAGGCCAAATGGACCTTTATTAAAGCTGAAATCGAAGTATGTTTATTAACTAGAATTCACAAACGGTGTCCAGGTACACTTAAAATATACTCTCTGGCATATTCCTTAGAAACACTTAAATTTAATGTTTTGGTATTCTGCAATTTGCATTAGTTTTGAGAAGGGCTAATGCGTAAAAATCCTCTACAATCTAATGCGACATTTAATGTTTTAAAGATGGTGTACACGACATCCAGTAAATTTGCATATGCTTCCAAAACTTTTTGCTGCTTAACTAAATCCTTAGCATCTATTTACACTAAGGCAGGTCTCCACAAGCCTACTTAAATCATCGCATTGTTGCTAAAGCTAGCTACGAGGTGAGGAATCAATTCTATCCACAAGTAAATGCGTCGTTCCAACGAACCTGTTGGCATGAAGCCTTAATGCGAATGAATTTGGCGAAAGGCCCTATTGAAAAGAACAACGTTGCCGCGACTGTGACAGTTACAACTACACCCTATGTAGCTCTTACGCATTGTGAAACAGTTGACCTCGCTCAGGAATTCAAACGTTTGATTGGCGGTTTCCCATCAGTTCAAGAAATGTAGCTAATTAAATGACATAGGGATTGATTCCAGGCATAAGAGAGTTAGCGGAAGCTGAATATCATCAGTGGAAGAACTAGATGACTTATTATACTAATCAGTGATATGAATTTGTAAGGTTATAATATTTTTTTTAATGTAACCCTTTAATTGGAAGCGTTAAGGGTGTAAGTATCGTAGATTCATGACTTAACTATAATAGAAGTATTTCATGATTTGCAAAAACAGGAAGCACGGTTTTAAAACACTAATCTACAATGGATATATATATCTGCAGAAACGTGCTCCTTACTGTACATTTACCTGGCCCGTCTTTTGCTTTCACCAAATGTTTATTTGTGTAAATCATTACTTGAGATTTGTGAAACATAAATGTGATACTAAACATGCGACAGGATCTGGCCCTGCCTCAAGTACAATGTATCACTGCAGCATCCGAAAGACCTTGAGCCACTTCAACCTGCCTCATTGGTTCCTGGCGCATTAACATATTCTTTCTGTGCTGGCATAAACCAACGTCATCTGCCTACACCCTGTGGTGCAGGTTGCAATGCTTTAATCCATTGGTGCAGCCGCACGTAATCCTAAACTCACATCGGCAACTGCATAGCGCAGTTCCCTATGTGACCTCACAATATAATCAGCTGTCATCTACAAGTATTTTGTCATCCTCCTGATAAAATTTAATAACATAGTCCCTGTGAATGTGAAAGTTCCGGTGAAGGCTTCGAATAAGTAGCAATTCAGAATTCATAATCTGCAATGTTAGGCTGTCTTGTCTTGACTATTTATGACAATCGTGCATCAATTTGTAGTGTTTCGACTCCATTTTCTGTGCCGATTTCTAAGATCAACCCTAATACTTACGCAAGATCCTTATTATCAAAATGAAAAGCCTTGTAATTTTATGTGCACCATGCTTCTTTCCAAATGTGTGTTTTTGGTAGTATTTTCGGAAATCTGATCGGAAAGGTCATCTAATTGGATATCGCATAACCCCTGAGTAATATGCCGTTGCTCAAGCTTCACAGTGGACAGCTTACGGCATGTAGAAATGCAAAAAATGATCTAAAGGGAACTGTTATTTGAAGTTTCCAAACAAAACAATTAGAGTCTAAATAAGTAGGGAGACCTTCAACATAAAATTACTTTCACACAAATGGTAGCATACTGGGGAATTTAATGTGAAGAACTAAGGACTTTAAGTGCATAATGGGTACTGGCATCAAAGATGAACATTACAAGGGGTGATATATTTATATTCAACGTGATATAAACAAGATGTTAAGAAAATTTCGGTGATTTGCATAGACACGTGCCTTTGTCATTTGTCATTCAAACTAAATCATTCTCATTTTCTATACAAGATTTGAAAGAAGAATCGTTAGAATTAAAGGGCGTGGTATAAATGCATTCAGGTCTGTTGAATTTAGGTGCTTAGTCTGCACCTAAGCCATCATAAATACTTTCTATCCAGAAAAGAATGATTAAGTAATTTTGCGAATGGATGATCGCAAGCAGCGGTACTAGGCTCCACGGGGTAGTGGGCTTGCGCTAGATTGGGGCACAATGGAAAGCGTAGCACTGTTTGTGATATGATTGACAGTCTTATTTGCATTTTTTGATCTCCAGAATCGCAACCTATAACGAATGAATAGTTTGCAGAATCACGCACATAAGGCTGTCCTTATGTCACATGGATGTATGCTGTCTCTACCCACGGAAACCAAACCTATATATTCTACAGTCGCTCTCATTTCAGCAAACGTATATTGATCTCTCTGCGTAAATGAGCTTTTTATTTTACAAGAACTCAGGTAATGCCTCTGATTTTGTTACGTTTATTAATTTATTAGAAAAATTATGCTGAAATTAATTTGTTTGGTGACTTTGCTATGGTGGGCAGAGGCCGATAGCCCTACTAATCAAGAGCGCACACAAATTGTGGATTTGCTTACGAAATTGCGAGAAGAGGTTGATCCACCCGCAAGCAACATGATGCTGATGGTTTGTGCTTTATAATTACCACTTTTGTCTAATTCAATTTCATCATGCCTTACTTTTGAAAAACGTTTGCACATATTTAGCCACCCGAGAGAATAAGGAGAATAGCACTAGTGTCATTTCTTTCATCTATGTGTGCATTAAAAATTAACTTCTATTGCTACCGTATTTCAATTCCACTACTGTCTACTGCATAATTTTTTTGCATAGGAGTACTCCGATGATTTGGAAAACTTGGCCAAAAAATGGTTGGTAAATTGTACTTACCCACTGCCAAATGGCACATTCTACCCTGAATATAAAAACGTGGAGGTTGTTGTACAATCTGGAAGCAAACAAAGACACGCATCGTTTAACATGTCGGCCGAACTCAACTCCGAGAAAAAAGTCTACAACTATGAAAGTAA